TTCGTACATAAAATTGTGTTTAAATAAATGTTTGCAAAGGAAGACCATCTCCGTTTTCAGAAACAAAATCTTACTAGACTGAAGTAAAATTGAAAGCTTGAATGTGTGTGTGTGTGTGTGTGTGCAATTTTGTATTATATCAACATAAAATATAAAAACATACCAGTGGCTTTTATGGGCTGTAGCATAATTTTTCATTTACTTTGGATGTAAAAACAGTATTTATTGTAATCTAACAAAAGAGGGAGAAATAAATGGAGAGGGGAGGGAAAGAAGTGCATTAAAAGTGTATTCAGAATTATATTGTGGGAAAACTAGTAACCCCTTGTGTATAAGAGTTTGCAACCAACTCAGAACCAGCTTCTCCAAGTAATATGGAAGTGGCCACAGGGGAGGAATTTATTCAAATGGTTCCGAAGAAGCCAAATGAAAATAATAGGGCGAATGGTTTCCTACATGCACACAATAAAATACTTTGAGCAGTACAAAAACACTCAGCTGAAATTATCTCTGCATAGGTTAATGGAATGGGAAGCTAACAGTGTTATTTGAAATTTACAGGTATTTCACAAAAAGCTTATAAAATACTTTTTAAATATTCCATTCCCCTTTGGTTATGTCATAACAATTTCCAATATGAATACCAGTGTGTTAATACTTCTGAAGCCTACTCTTATGAATATATACAATACCACCTGACTTCAATGAGTTTAGCTGTTCAGGTTTTCAGCTCTACATATGGGACTTTCTGAATTTTCTAGATTAGGTAGGTATACAGGATGCAAAATTGCCAGGTGGCAGAGAACAAAAAAAAGGAAAGTCTATACTAATGAAATTAAAATATTGTTGTTTTCCTTAGGTCAATAAAACTGAATGTATCAGGAAAAAAATGTACAAAGGTTATGCAGGTGGTTCTTGTTTAAGGGACACTCATTCAATGACTGTTCAAAGAGTAGTGAATGAGTAGTAATTACAACTGGATCTCATACTTACATATGCTGAACGCCCTGAAAGTTTGCTTCATCCAGCAGAATTCTTATGACAAAGGGGACACTATGGTTTGATATTGTAGTGATACCACATATAACACAATTAGTGTTACTGCTTTAACTTCTAAAAATAAAGAAGTGTCTTGACACTTCTTCTCTCAAAGCCATGATCTTCCCATTCTGGATCGATTGGCCTTGCTTAAGTGTGGATTATTTTAGCGATCCACTCTTCTTTTTCTCCTGTAGTTTACTAAGGGCCAAGTGGGAAGGAACCTGAAGGCTGCCTTTTCTGAATAGGCTAGAATCCAGAAATACTTTCCATTATCTCATATGAAAACATTTTAATAGATGAACTGGACATGTTAATAAAGGGAGATTAAAAAAAAATCAGACAGTTTTTGTCAGATAAGTGGTTTTGGTTAACAGTTGTCTGTTACTTCCCAGGGGAAAAAATCAATTACTTTAAAAATATAGAAGTTGTTAAGATGTTCCCTTTCAAGTGCCTCTTGTAATACCGAATGTGCTCTGCTTCATTAGAAAATGAATCTCATGCAGCACTCAGATACTGTGACTCTGGCAGCAGCTAAAGAAGTGACAGGATATATAATCATATCTGGGAACAGCTATGATGCGATTGTAAGAGTGGGAGTGTATCAAGGTATTTCTTGCTTTTTAGAAAATTATGGGAAGTATTATGCAGCAGGTTTACATTAATTTAGAAGTGAGAGTTCACAAAATTGTCTCTGCAAACTATATTTATACATTAAGAAGAAGGTGAATGGTTTTTTTTTAAAATATAAACCTCTCCATTTTCTGTCAAAAAGTGGATAATGTATTCCTTCGACTCTGTACATAAATTAAGTCTGTTAGATCAGCATCTCATATCTACAAGATCTTTACCATTTCCTTCTCTCCCCCCCAATCCCCCCGGTCTATTTCACATGATGGAAGGCAACAAAATACGTAGCCCCAGCACTCTAAAATTCATCAGTATGAGTCTCAACATATCAATTTGAAAGAGCGACCTTAACTATATGCCAAGCTTTTAGTTTCCCTTGAAAATAATACTTCTATTGTTTCCAAAGGAAACTCTAAGTACCCAAAATTGCCATGCTTTTAACATAGTGACATGTTGATGGCCTGATGCTTTTTCAAGCTCAAAGTCTGACTGACAGGAGTCAGAGTGGTTTAGAGGAACAGTAGAAGCATAGCATTTTATATTTTGCAAGAATTATTATAGCAACAAAAATGACAAGGTGACTTTCTAATTCTGTAAGTTTGCAAAGGAAAGAACTGAAAGCAAATTGAACCAGCAAGTGCTTTCTCTGCTACAACTAAGCAGCAGAAAGAATCTGGAGTATGCATTGATTCTAACCGTTGAAAGTGTAATTCTGCATTTATACCAGTCAGAACACACACACACACCACTATTTTCTGAGTATCTCAATTGTATACAGGCCAACTACCAATCATAAAACTTTTAGGTTTAGGGAATTTTGAAAAATTATACCTGGTGCTGACAAGGTTTTGACACAAGATGCTGATGGTTGCAGAACACAGTGCAACAACATGAATAACCTCATATGAGGTTAGCAAAATTGACAAAACTATTCCTAGTTACAAACTCCAGAAAGAGTGATTTTGACCGAATCAATACTTTTGCTTGCTCAGGGCATATGTTCAACAGTTCCTAATTCAAAGTTATTGCAAATGGAAAGTGTTACACTGCTGTGAAATCATAATGTACTATGAATTATACTTGTAAAACAATGTTTTTTCCTGAAGAAATGGTGCTTTCATATTTTTAAATCTTCCTTTTTATTACTCCTGTAACTACTTTTTGATCTTGTGTTCTTGCACTTAATTTTCTCCAATATTCAAAACCAGTTCATTACTATTATTTCCAGATAATGCTATTTTAATGCTTCTGAAATAGGTACAAGATTTAATATCTATTTCACAGATACAAGATGTTGCATAAAGTCAACTTTTCTAGCCTCACTACCATCAAGTAAAGTGATTCCCTAGAAGGTGCTCATAAGCGAGTACACATGCACTATTTGTACATAGCAGCACATACTTTGAAAAAAAAAAGCCATATACATTATAGACCTGACAAAAACATTTGTAGGAACCCTTTGTGGAGTATGATGGTGTGAATGGAATATTCTATCTCAAAGTAATGGAGCAGCCACGCTCTCTGGAAGACTCTGAGAATATGAGGCTTTGCTTTTTCAGGTACCCGTGGGAAGGTAGAGCCACTTCATTGACTGTCCCAACAGGCATTTTGTCTCTGTCCACAACTGAAAAAAGCCTTCAAAGCAGCTGCCTTAATATTCTCAATAATTGCAGCTGTTTCAAAATTTTGAAGAAGTATATTTTGCCTTTTCAAATGCTTTGCACAACCAATTTGTATTTTTATAATTTCTATTTTATATTTTAACCATGATAAGAATATAAACATGATGGAAGTTGTTGATTATTTCATTTTGAGCAAAACAAATTGAGAGGGTTAGTTTCTTACTGCTGGCAAAAATGCTATCTTCAAAACTTGCTGTGTGATTTAAAATCACATTACAAATACTGAAGTTCAAGGATTTTAGGTTTATTTATCTCCAGGTATATTTCACTATGTAATTCAATCATGAAGAAATCCTTATCCAAAGAATAGAAGACTGCAGCCATCCATAATAGATCTATAGCTGAACTACAACTACCTGTGCACATCACAATGACTATGGCTGGAAAAGGAGGGAGTTGTAGTTCAGCAGCTTGTGGTGGTTCACAGATTTTCCCTCCTTGCCTTATAAGAGAACTTTGAATTTTCTTTAAAAATATTTTAAATATTTTTAAAATATTTGCATGCCTATTCATCTTAAAACAACTCTGAGTGGTTTTCAACAATAAAACTAAAACTATAAAAACGTATAAAAACCCCAAAATCTGTAACCTTGACCAACCTCCCAACAAATCTCTGCACCATTCTCCACCATTCTACCTCAGTGCCTTAATTCTTAGCTTTTCTTACTGAGGGCCAATTAAAATATTAGCATACCATCTGCAACTTGATAAAAACGCATCCATGTGATGGTACATTTCACTTTTGGGACTAATATTTGTAAACTCATTCAGCTCTTTACTAGATGTTGCTCTAAATCAGTGTAAATGTTCTATGTCAAGGGGTTGCTAACATTGATCAATCTGACTGGTATGGTTCATAATATAATTACTTCTAAGTCTGAATACTGAACATAGACGTATTTCAGTATCTTCCAGAAGAGGGCAGAAAATATCTTTCAATTATTTCCTTTTTACAAAGTTATAAATGAGGCATATAGACAATTTAAATTAGAATTTATCAAATATGTTTAAAAGCAAAAGTGAAGGAAAAATGCTATCTGTATGCTAATCACAACAAAATTGAATAGAATTTAACTTCATTCTTTATTCCTTCTGTTTCAGATTTCTGACAGGAAATTCAGATAAAATTATCTAGAATACCAACCACCTCGAATTGGGGCACTATCCACATTAAAATGGTTTTTATCTCTGAACTTTGCTCTTTAATAGCTATTCACATAAATACCCATAGACATCAAATTGAGTTTTTTATTTGTATCAGACAAGTAAGAGAACATTGAAATACTGTAAAAAATTTACTCAGAATGGGTCTAGTCATATTTATTAGGAATAAATTGACAGTTCTAGCATAAAGGTACAAAACAAAATCCAAGGGAGATGTGATGGTACTATTCCCAATTTTCTATTAAAAATACTACTATGCACTTTGAATTATCTTTCTTTAGTTCCCTCACATATATTTTCACCCCAATAGAGTTATTTTGGTGGTTTCTTTCCACTTTTCTCAATAAATGTATCAGAAACAAAACGTATTGGTATTGGTATGTTTGCATCTCACTGGTACCTGGAAGAGTGTTTTTACTATGTAATCAAATGATGATTTGAACAAAGGAAGCAATAGAACTTGCAGATTTATGGCTCTCATTACAATTATGGAGGAAGTATACCAAAATGCCTTGCTATTGTATAGTTATCAGCTGAGAAATTTTAAAGAAAAGATCAGTATTAGAATCAGACAGTAGTACAGTTGACAAGGTGATTCAGAAACAAACAATGCAGTCTTACAACGTAAGAGTAAAAAAGTAAAAGAAGAAAGTAATATATGTGCTATATGTAACCTGAATTTATATTGTACGGATAATAAAATATGGAGTATAATAGGATGAAAAATAGAATGTATAGTATAATATGATTCAGGAACAACATGAGAGATGTAATATAACATAGTATTCAACTTGCAATGTATACGAGGTTATTTTAAATATTCAAAGAGCCTTACTATGCTATTACTTTTTCAGTCACTTTATAATATATAGAAGAGATAGAATTTAGGTTGAGAGGACTTCAGAGATTAGTTATGAATAACTAATTAAATCATGAACATTCAAAGTTTATAATTACATTTATCATTTTAATTCCATCTTCCTTTTTTTTCCAGAAATCATATAGTATTACCTCCTCAAATGTTATCATTTCAACAACAACAACAATGGCAAGAAAAATTTCGAAGGGAGTTAATCTGAGGGATAGTGAACATTTGCTTCTAGTCTTCTAGTTAATTTCCACAGCTGAGTATTGACTTGGACTTAGATTTTTTTTTTGTACTAAACCAATTCCCTAACCATTATACATTACATAGGACTGAATCTTAAAATGGCTAGCAATGAGCTCCACTACTACAAGAACCATTGTCTGATTAATCAGAAAAGTATAGGTAAATTTCCTTTTGCCATGAATATAATTTAGCTAAATGGAACAAAATTAGGGCATTGTCTCTTAAGCGGCATATTTCTGTTATTTCATTTTAAAAATCCAGTCCTTGTCCTCTCAGTATAAAGTGCACGTGATTTTAGAAATAGCACTGTTGATTACTATTTTGGTTTTATATGAGTAAAAGCACAGTGGACAAACATGAATTATTCAAAAGATCATGTGTGATTTCTTGAAAGAAGTGACTTACCTATGAAATAGGCCAACAGTATAGCAAGCAAGATTGCAGCAGCGATAGCTGATAAAGCAGCACACTTCCAGCTACAGTATTTAGAGGGCTTTTTCAGCTTGAATGCATTTCTGGAGAAAGTATTTCTAGGTAACAGTCGGGGAGGTGGTGTGTAAACTGTTCCTGAGGTCAATGGGTATCCAGGGGAAGAACTACTGAAGAGAGGAGTTGTTCCAGATGATGTCTTGAACAAAAAATGCCTTAAAGGAAGATAAATATATCACGGTTAACAGATGTAACACATCCAAATAATTCAGCTATTTGGAAATACAAAGTAAACTAATAACACACATGACAAGGAAAGCAAGCTTCTGTTTGCTCAACATTTAATTTTAATTGTAGAATTATGAGCTGACAATACTTCTCCTTCATACATCTTGCTCAGGCAAAACAAACAAACCATATTATCATCAGTTATGATTAAACCATAATGGATGCTTCCAGGATCACATTATCACAAAAGAAATATGTGATCTAATGATTTAGCATTATGTGAAAACCAAGCCAATGATCTGAACAAATTAACAAAAAACAAGTTGCTTGAAAGTTATTTGAATCCAATTTAAGGGTCTTTATTAATGATTAACCTTAGTAATAATAATACTTCAAATGCCAGCTCATATAGCAAAGTCATGACTTTAAACACACTCAGGCCTTCAACCCTTACATTTCCCAAGGAAAAAGACAGTAACATAAATATCAACTGAAAAACAACTAATGTACTGTATATGCTTGCGAGATTCACACATGCAACAAATGGTAATGTAAAAGTTCCTCTTTGTCACATGGGACAATGCTAAGCCTGGTTGTTTTTTAAATACAATTCAGGGTATTAGAAGCTAAATCTACCATCTTTAATTATACCCATAAGACTAATGGAAGCCTTATAAACCTTAATACAAAACAAGTTCAGACTCTGGAAAATCAGTAATGTCTTATTAATGGTGCATCCAACCAGGAAACCATAGAATTTTGCACTATTTTCAGGACAGCATGGTTCAGATCCAACAAATTATGTACAGAACATTAGAGAAATTAAAACGTAATGCTATAAAAACTTAAATTATAATTCAAAGGTGGGAAGACTTTGCTGCATAATGATAATCTGTTACCAATGTAATAGGAATAGTGATGATGAGGATGTGGATTACAATGATGATGTTGTGATTGTGATGGTGTGGGGTATGTGTGATTGATGTTTTCAATTTTTTTAAGTAAAGTTAGACATACATTGTCAGCTATTCCCAATCGTAGCAAGTGGAAAAGTTTTGCACCAAAACTTCCCAGAAACCCTTTAAAAAAAACCACCTCAGAACAGACATGTTGCTATAATAGAAGATTGATTTACTCATTCTTCTCAATAGTTTACACAAAATAATGAAACTAAAACATAATATTAAAATAATAATTTTATTCTGCCTCTATGTGACATCAAAATGATGAAAATATTTTGTGATGTCACAACAAAAGCTCTCCCCTTTTGTATCTGTGTACAATGTGGCACAGTAATTCTATAGCTTATATCTCTCAGCAAAACACAAGTCACTTCAAAGAGAACCAATATATAACTATTTGCGGGGGGGAAAACCCTACCATAAAAATGACGAGGTTTTTCTGTCCTTATCACCACAGCATAATTCCTAATATTGGCTCTTGGTCATGTTTTGTTGAATTCAATCTTGTTCCTCCAAAGATACTCTAAGTCTCTCTTCTGGTAGTTCATATCCCAAAGTTCCTCAACCAACCAAAGAACACTATAGTATCAATGCACAATGAGAGTCTTCAGAGGAATTTCTGCTTCAAACTCCTTAATAAACACCTATTCCATGCAGTGTCCAAGGTCTGTCTACCCATCCTTGGGGGAAAAAAACCCTCCAAGATCCTTTTCAAACCCCATAGGTTCCATAAATTCTTTAGGGCAGACCATCCTATCTCCTTGGGCATGCAACAAAACTAGAAGTTACAAAATGATCTGAGAACGGATGGTGATATCATCCAATATTTTTCAAACTGGACTTCCTATTGACTTTTTTTTCTTTTGGTTTGCAAGAGGGGACTTCCCAATGGCATTGAAAAATATTATGGTCTGCTCATTTCTGAAAAAGCCATGACAAGATGCAGTGGTGATCGGCCTCCTCCAGTCCCACTTTGTTGATGGGAGACATCAGACTGAAGTTGAACCCTGATATGGTAGAGCTGCAATATTTAATTTTTATTTTTATTGCTTCTTATCTTTGGCTTGTGTTTTTATTTTTTGTAAACTGAGCATTGAACTATACAATAAATTTTAGTATAATTTTAATATATGATTTTTAGAGGTTTTTTTTTTAAAAAATAGCAAGATATGTAAAGCAAGCAACAGCATATACCACAATTTTCTCTGATTAAATATAAAAACAACCATGACGAAGTTCTACAGTAATGTTCAACAACTGAATTTCAGAAGCAAGGAATCTGTAAACAGAACAAAAAACTGAAGAGCGCAGTTCTTGTATAGTTACAAATAAAAGCCAAAAGAGACAAAGGTACTACTAAATGTGAGTTCATTGAAAATTATTTTTTTTTAAAAAATGTAAATGCATGTGGCTGTCCATTTGCTATAGCTCTTCTTTAAAGAGAACAGCTTGACAGTGTTGAATTCAACAAGACCTTATGTTTGCTGAAATGTGGTGTTAATTGTTGACTCCCTGTGAAAGCAGGAGCCAGTCATACAAATTGTACTTTTCTATTTTTCTAGCATCCCCTTCTCTCTAAATCGTGTTTAGTTTTCTAGTAAGCTACTATTTGATATTACAAACCCACTGTATTTTTTTTTCAGCCCTACATCATATTTTCAATTTCATATTAATTTCATTCACCTTTGGTGCCAAAAATAGCTGAAATAAATATAGGGAAACCAACTGATTCTTAACTTAGATAAGGGTACTTCTGATCATTCAAAGGGAACACTATTCTGGGTATAAATGTAATATACCTAAATAAATATTTTGTTTTGAATTAACTTGCAGTTCTCTATGTACCGTGCAATAAATCGGGAATTTTCACAACATGTGAGAAGGAACCAATTTCTAAACAGCCAGACCACACAGAATTGCTTCACTTGTTCTAAAACAGAAGTCAAGGACCCAATCAAGAAGAAAGAGAAAGAAAAAATTGCTATGCTTAATTGCCACAGATACACATACACATTTTTTCTAGTCTTGAACACATTGGAGCTCCTACAACTATATTTTCCTATAAACAAAGACAAACTCCAATAGGAGATTACTCTGTAGGATTGCCCAATATTAGGATGCTATATACCATAAAAATGATTCAGAAAGTGTCAATAATTGAGCTTTTTTAACAAACAGGAGAGAGATGCTGTGTTCACACAATGCCTGAATGATTTTCAAGGTGTGCACAGCTTTCTTAAACTCCACAATCACTTTCGCACAAATGGACCCAGTGTTATTCAGGAACTTACAAAATTGTTTAAACAGGCAATTGTTGATTAAAAATACATATAAGCAGTAACAGGTTTTTCTTAAATGAGCAAAAACATATTGCTTTTCCTTAATCTTTTAATTTTCAGAAGTACTAGAAACTTCCCAAAGAGCTAGAAAATAGCTCTTTCTTTTTTATATTTAAGAAATCTGGGAATTATGGCCTATTGGATCAGGGATCCCTTGCATTTAGGCTTCCATGGATGTTTTATCCATAAGCAACTGTCCATAGATACACATAGACCAATTTCCAGTCTTTTCTGGGCTGCAGCATAATCTGTATTCAAGTGGTTTAGTAGCTAAAATATCATTAGGCAGAGAAACAATCATTCGGATTAAACACAAAAAATATTAAAATAATAACACAAGATATGACTCAGGAACATTTTGAAGCTTTTCACAAACAACTGCCTTTTTAACGAGACATTAACAATTCTCCAACGGTTAAATTGCAGTTACCTATTTTCTAAAGACATACCTTTCTTTCTAATCAATGCCAGTTTTCAGTCAAACTATCTTTGTGTATTTAACTATGTTAAATACCAAAATAGTTGCTCATTGGCATCTTGGATTTCTTAACATGGACACAGTTGGACACATAAGCACCATGTTTGAAATGCCTGACAAGAAAAATGGCATGTTACTCTTTAAAGCAGGTGTCAGCCTTTAGGGACACTGTTCTATAAAAGCATTAAGCTGAACCTAAAGCAACCATGTGCACAGAGAAAATATTTTAAAGCAGGTGAAGATGCAATACAACTTCTGCTGTAGCATCATATAATTAAGGAACAGTAGTACTTTTTAGAGCCCGGCTTTATTTTCTGTAGCAATGCTGTATGTGTTTTTTTACAAGCAGGGAAAAGCTGATACTTGCACTCCTAAATAAGATGCCTTCTAGATCTTCAGGGGATTTGTCTTCACCTGGTCAATCAGAGGTTAGGATAGTGTATTGCCATAAGAGACATACATTGTCACATAGCAAGGTTTTGAAAAACAGCAAAGGAAGGAACTCCCATTTTCCATCAAATTGCTTGTACAGTTTGATTCCTGTATACCTGGATGACACATAAGTGAAGAAAAATATTTCTTTAGGCTTCACCTACATATATGGACTATTGTGCCATATTAACCATTTCTAGAAGCCATGACCTCCTAATCTAGCTTCAATTACATCCTCAAGCCCACTGCTGAGAGAGATGCATTGGCCTGGAAATAGTGTTTTTCTGCTGTCACATTAACGGTTAGAATCTTTGGATGTTAAGATATTAGAATCGCCTTCGGATGTTAGCAATCATCAGGATTCTAATTGGTTCAGCATTTACAGAGTTTTGCATATCTAATTCAACTTTAATTCAACACTTGACTCCAAATAATTCAGAGGAGTTTCTTACTTTAAAAAAGACAGGAGCCATTAAAAAATAAAGATTGCTCAGGAGGCAAATTTACTATAACAAACAAAAGATGCTACAGGAGCCAAACCACTAACCTCCCCTAAGGCCTTGAAAGGTGTTATGCCAAGTGAGATGGGAGACACACTGAAAGGTGATTCCAGAGAAGCTCTAAGCAGGTCCTCCTATGAAACACCAAGGAGGTCCTGCAAATCTTGGGGTTCGGTAATGGAAATAAATATAGTCTCGGAGCTGTCAAAACAAACCCATACACCATAGAAATGTCACCTGGCTAGAGCAGAAGCACGGTAGTAGATAAAAGGGAGGAAGTATTTAATGGAAGGGTTTCCCTGCATGTGTTTTCCCAGCTTTCAAGAGAAACAGCAGCCTGGAGGCAAGTGGATTTGAGGGAGGAAGGATGCACTAAGAAGAGAAAGGAAGGGGCAACTGGCAATTACTATTTATTGTTTTAGTAGCATTTGACAGCAATAATGTTATTTGTATTGATCCTTATTTGACATACTGTCTCTTTCCACTTCTTTTTTTGTAGTATCATTTGTTCCATCTGCCCTACCTATGATTGAAGATTAGTACAAAGTTTGGTGATTGTGTGTATTAGTTGTACTATTGTTAGCACATTAATCTGCTTTGTGTAATTTTATTGTATTTTATAGCTACCTTTTACTTTTATTAATAATTATCGGTTTATGTATGTTTAGAGAAGTGTTCCTGGCCTAAAGGTTTTGATTTGATTTTATCCTTAGGGAACTGATATCAACCATCTGGAGAGAGATGTCAGGAAAGAGACTGTTCAAACTTTTAATCCCATCCCACTATATATTCCTAGACTTTTTATGGTTGATTTTCCTGCTTGTAGGTAGCCCTGGGTAAGAGGCAAAAGGCAGCAATCCTTATCACTCCCCTGAAAATAATCTATATTTCATTACACACACACACACACACACACACACACACACACACACACACACACAATCTCTATCTATCTATCTCTATCTATCTATCTATCTATCTATCTATCTATCTATCTATCTATCTATCT